AATGGATACAGACTGGCCAATTTGATACTGTCTTACCCCCACCAAAAGATCTGCTTGGAGATTAACGAATGTGACTGCTAGGGCCCTGGTGACTGCATCGTTAAGGGAGATGTCAATTATGTAATTGTTACATCAGATGTTATATACTCCACTGTGATCTGACTCTAGCTGACAGCATCTTTATAATGTGTGCGGGTGTTTTGTATGTTTATAAAAGGCGTGCAGCGGAAAAGGAGAACTGGGATAGCGGCTTTGGGCATATATACATATGGTCTGTCCCTGAAGAAAGTGTCTTCCACGTCTGGCAGATGATTTGCGGCTTGATCGACCTGACGAGTGTCAGCGTACTGGCCTGCACACTCACACAGGCCGCCACACGTCACTCACGTCAGGGTGGGGAGGGGGGCGCACACTCACACAGGCCGCCACACGTCACTCACGTCAGGGTGGGGAGGGGGGCGCAGCTCTGTTACACACTGTTGCATCATACATGCACACAGGATGATACAAGGGGGCCTGCATGGGGGGGGGGTCCCGACAACGCTCTACGCTAAATTCTGAGAGCCGGCTACGTATTACACTACAGTAGCGATTACGCTTTACGATAAATTTCAAGTGGCTTCTACGCATTACGTAGAAGTAAAAGGCGAATTACGCTCTACTCATCATCATGAAGCATAAAGGGCCACTTGGAATTTATCGCTCCGTCTACGCTCTACGTAGAATTAAAACGGCCGATTACGCTCTACGGAAAAGGGCATGCGGGCCCCCATACAGATAGCGAAAACGACCGGAATGCTTGGTGTGTGGTCAGGGGGCTCACCCTATCACGACAATTTTATCTAGATGTCCAGCAAGGAGTTACAACTTACAGAAATATTAATTCCAAATTGAAGATTTGTTACAAGTTTTATTATTGATTCGTTTGGGAACCACTGCAGCTGTTAATCAATGCATATGTTCTGACAGGGACCAAGTATCAATAATATTTTTGTCAGGCTAAGAACTGTCACCATGTTGTTGGAGGCTGACGGTTGACTCGTTTCCATGGTGACAGAGAATCCTGAGCTCCTATTGGACTGATTTTCACGGAGACTAGAGTGAACCGCCACAGACGGGGG